GTGTAAATTTGTAGCTGTGTTTAAATTGGTCCTTGAGATTTACGTCCATAAAAGATTTTCTCAGATCTGTGGAGTTGAATGAGATTCTCACGAGAGTTAAACTGGCAGTGCCAGGCAGCACCTAGTGTCAACATACTGCTCAGGAAGAAAATGGAATAGAAAACTCCCATCTGACATATGGAATAAGTTTACCATGTACTGTAGTTCGAGGATGCTGCTACTGCTGGTTTTGTGATCAATATTAGCAAAATATTTGGAAATTCATATTAGAGTCTTAAAGGAGGGATGTGTGAATTTATTTTTTTGTGTGTGTACATGGTATTTATTAAGTATTCTGATGAATTATTCTGTCATCCTTCTGCCTTGCTGGAAAGCTGAGTTTCTCAGATTTTAAGTTAGTGAAAGAGGTGCTGTAAGCATATTTCCCAAAGGCTTACAGGGGTGTTAAGTAAAATACAGCCAGTCTTTGACAGTGCGGAGGAAAACAAGTCAATCCTTGTTTTCACTGTCACTGGACACTGACAGCAGCATGTCTGAGTTAATATACAGAGCTGCAGCTGTATTCCATAAGCCTGATAGTCTCTCCTTATTGTTTTGACTGAGAATATTGATTTCCATATTCAACCTTTTCTCTGCTTGCAGTTCTTTACACTGCTAATCTAATGCGATGGTGTGAAAAAAGGCACTGGAGCTTTTCTTTAACATTTCTTGGGGCTTCATGTCTTTTACCTGCTGAGCTTTTGCCTAGAAAATGATTGCTCATTGCACTGCACTTTTGCATCACTTTTCTTCATGTTACTGACAAATTTATATATATATATATATATATGTATACATATAACTATATTGCTATTAATATTGATATGTTATAATATTCATATAGACAGATAATATATTCTTCTATATGAAGGTGTTTTCATGTATTTCCTCACATTTCATCTATGGATCTGTATCCATCATTTCTATGAATAATGACATATTTTATGTATCTTCACTCTTGAGTTGTTCTGCAGAGAGTGTTCCAGAAAAATTGTCCTCTCTATGGAGTATTTTCTTACAGTAATTTACTCTATAGTGTTTAACCTGCAGGGACTTTATTATGCAAATGCTAAATTTGCTGGCTCAACCCCATGTTTCTTTGAAAGAATGTTTTTTTTCATTGCTTTGGAAAGAAGAGTTCTGACAGGGTCAATATTCACTTTTTTTCTCACCTATTACCCCTCTGATTCCATTATGAAAAATGAAGGCAAATTACCTTCCTTTGGTCAGATAAATATGTCCTAATTACTGCATTATTTTATTTCAGTAATGGTACTGAATGTCCACATGCAAATAAAATTAAAAAAATTTGCTGTGGGGATGCAAAAAATCCTGCCCCGTGTTTGAAAATATGTTTAGGGTTCTCCTTATAGTGTCTGATGCTTCATTCCTTCACAGCAGTCAGCTGGAGACAAACATTGGTAGCTGAGCTATCGTTTGATCCCTGTCCAAAGACTGAACCCTTTGGCCATTTGTGTTTTCTGCTTTGGAGAAGCTGCAACACAAATATCTGGACTAAAGTGAGAGATCTGGATGATGAAATGGGGAGGCTAAAGAAAATTACTATCTTGTAATTTTTTTGAATTACAAAATATGCTGAATAGCATTGCTTAAGAACGTGCAACAGATGAGTCCTAAAACTACCCTATGTTAACATAAACGTTTTCCTTCCCAAGTTTTATCATAATTTCTTATTACCAGTTTTAAGCTGAGGAGCTTGACAGCAGCTGTAACCAGTAAATGAAGTTAGTGTGATCTTTGAATTTTTCTTATGGCTTTGTTATGCTCTGGATTAATTCTTGACTTCTGTGTTATAATAAGAGCTGTGTAAAATAAATTGTCTCAGTGCACCCATAGGGCAAATGCATTCAGTTTGTAAATTTGCAGCTCTTAAATGAGTGCAATTCCTGGATATGTTACTTAAGTGATGTGTAAATGCCAAGAAATTTTTTAAAAATTATTATTTCTCTGTATACAATTTTTAAGAGTCTGACATCCGATCGGATCACTGGATTCTTGTGAGTGGTGACAGACCAGCTATACGGCGTTTGACAAGCAGTGCGTTATCATTACTGGGCGTTTCAGTGTACATCATTGGTGCCAAGCCTGGTGTGGGGACAGCAGAAATCACTCATCTGAAATGGAAACTTTCTCTCAGCTCAGGCCCACGGTAGTACCTGTATGAGGTGAACCCTAATACTGGGCTAATCAGTATGGATTCAGCTCCCCACTGCAGTAATGTTCTGGTACTCTGGATCCTGCATTTCACGTTCTTGCACTTCTGAACGAGACAGGCCAGATGGTGCCTATTGTTCCCACCTCCCGGCAGACAAGCCGAGCTGCATTGTCAGCTCTGCTTCCCAGCCTGCTCGGGGAAATAGAGGTGCAAATTCCATAGCTGTTCACCAGTCTGGCAATCTGTGCTCACTTAGGGCATCCATCCCAAGTTTCTGCTACCATAAGGAAACAAACCCATGGGAGTGTTTTGCCTGAGGCTTCAGAAATCAATTTTAGTTACCACTTTGGCAGAGCTTGGGGAGGGAGCCAGAGCTCTGCGTTTCTAAAACAGGAGGGCAAGAGAGGAAGAATGAAAGCTTAGTTCAGAGTTTGCTTTGTTTATTTACTACTTTTGGTCATGGATGTTACTAAATCAAGTGAGATAATACATTTTATTTTGGAAATAGTAATAGTCTTCAGGTTGTCAGTGTTAACTATAATCCACTCTACCTTTTGGGTTTTAAATTTCTTGCTGTCATTTTCCCTCTCATAGCATGAGGTATTCTAGAGCTTTTAATAAGGCTGCTTTGAAAGCTTTTTTGTCATTTTGTTCACTTGGCAACTGAGTCTTTTCATTTTATTCACCAGTTGGTTCATAAACTAATGTGCTTAGTTTGACCATGTGGCTGTTGCTTGTTGCTGTCTAATTGCCTTCCACAGGCAAACAATATCTGCTCTTATTTTTTAAATCACAATGTTTGTTTCTTTAAAGTATTACAAAAAGACTGTGTAGCGGAGAGTGAAGACTTTAGATCTGAAGAGGATCACAATTTTTACTTCTGTGATTGCTTGCACTTATTTCAGAGAGGTTTATGGATGATCTTCAAAATAGGAACAGAGAGAAAGAGAGTTAAAAACTGCTAATAACTAAAAACCCAGGCAATATTCCCCTTTCTGCTCTTTTATTATTTAAAAGTATGCTAAAAATGCTGTTTATGACAGAAGAAGATATACTAACTTTTATGCCACTGGAAAGAAAAATCTTTGTATGAAACAAGAGTAGGAGTGAAGAAAAAAATTAGCATACTGTGTCTGGGAGACAAATCAGACAAGTTCTCTTTAGCCATGTCATTTTCAGACCTTGTAGGCCAGAGGATTTGAGAATAGATTTCTGTGGGTTCTTCTCCAAAAGTTTGCGTGTACACAAATCTCAGAGTTTAGAAAGAGGGGAAGATGATTTGGGTTTTGTTTAACTGAGATTGAGAGCTTAATTCCCCTCTGCCGTGCAACTCTTGTTTGATTTTACCTAGATAATAGGGTCAGTAACACCAATTTCAAGAACATTCTGTGATGTTACATTCATACAAAGCTGTTGGCATCTACTTCTATTTCATAACATGTAAGAAATGTGGCCCAGATGGGATTTGAAGAATAATAAGGCCCAGAAACTTAATGATATTTTGAAAGTATTTCTAAAGAAAGCTGTTGAGAAATCTGAGAGCTATATGAGAGAACAGTGTTGAGTTGTAAGACAAATTTAGAGTTAATGTGAATTGGTGTAACTTGACAAAGATGGATGAAATTACATGAGTCCTTAATTTGTGCACTGGTATATGAGAATTTAGGGAAATTAACATCTCTGACTTACTAAGTATATCATCGGAAGAAGTAGAAATGTTGCATGAACAGTGTTGTCAAAGTAGCTAAGTTTAGGAGTGTGTTATTTTTACTTTTTAGTATATTATGATGGAAACCAAGATGAGCAGCAAGATCTTTTTTTCTTAAACACTGAAAACATTTTTCCTGTGATGTGTTTTAGAGAGAGACCATAGTGTTTCTTCTGAAATTGTTTCTGAACATTCTGACCAGAGACAAAACAGTGTTCCCTGGCTAATTTTTGTACTTGCTTCTTGAGATGTAAGAATGCTAAACCAAACTGAGATCTGAGGAAACACCAAACCAGGATTTTTGTGTGAGCAGTAAAGAAAACTGCAGAATATTGAAGTTAGAAATTCTGTGAACACAAGGCTACAAAAAACCCCTTCATTTGGAGTCAGTGGCAGCAGAGCTCCCCTTGTGTTACTGTGATGCTCTGTTACTGTGCCAGTTTCATTGCCTTCTGTGCATTAATGTGAATTAAAGTGAATTAACAGTCTCTCAGGTCTTAGGTTTACCTTACACTTAGAAAAAGAAGAGCCCTTTTGATGGATTTACTATATTCAGGTAGGCTGAAGACAAAACGGATCAGCAAGATACATGGAAGAGAGAAGCAATCAGGAGAGAAATTGGGACGTTGCTGGAGATGATGAGCATTGTTAACCATAAAAACTAAACTTGGACTTCATTATACAGCTAATTTTTGTTAAGATAGAATAAATGAAGCTGTGGAACGTAAACAAGTTACCTTTCGCAGAAAGTGAGTTTTAAGAAGAGACTAAGATGTGAGACGTGTAGCCATGTGTCAGAGGTGAAATGCCTTCTGCATTATTATTAGTCTTTCCACTGCTCACTTTAGGTCTAATTCTCCTTTCAGAGAACCAAGGTGCTGTTACCCTCAGCTGCTGTCCTGTCTTATTTTCTGTCATTTCTGGTTTTGGTAGAGGCCAGAGGCTTCTACTAAATGCTACCTGCTGTGCAAAGCCCTCTGCAAACATCAGTGACAGTTCCTGCCCTGAACAAAATTTACACTGCAACAAACAAATCATAGTATGCAAAGGCAACAAGCAAGTGGATGGGTGAGATGACAGAAGAGAATGCAGACAAGATTAGAAGGTACTTTATTATTGACCTTGCTTTGTGCACAATTCCTTTCAACAGTCGTGTTAGCCCGCAGAAGGCCACCTTATCTGTCTCTTCAGATGGCGACAGGCTGAGGGCAGTTGACCTTTGTCAGATTGCCACCAACTTTCATTGGATTTGAAAGTGATTTTTGAATCAAATGTTGTTAGATGACAGATTATGGGAAATGTTGGAGACTTCCACCCAGATTGTATCTTTTGCAGGCAGTGGTATGGAGCTCTTCGTACTGTTTCTGTCCAGTCTGTTTTCCTGTTATGTCTCTTTTCCTAACCTGAGAATGTAAGAAGGCTGTACCAGATCAGACAGAGTATGTCCTGTCTTGAGCAGCAGCTATAAACAACAGGAAGGAAGAACAAGAACAGGGCGAGCATGCGTGATAGTGCCTTCCGTTTCCGTCTGAAACCTGACCATTTTCAGCCCATCAATTTACTGAGATAAGTGTGGTTTCTGTGTTTAATGTGGTTTTCCATGCCCTGAACTTGTTGAATCTCTCCCTTCAATCTGTGTAAACTTCTGCTCCTTACCACACTGGACAATCACCTCCAAAGCTAAGCTTTGGCACATTTATTCTGCCAGGTCTCCTTTTTGGAGTCAGTGATATTTTGTACAAAAAAATGTGATAGTCTGGTTAATGGACAATAAAAGTGCACTTCACTGATCTTCTTCACATTAACTTGTAAAAATACCTAAGGTAGTAATAATTTTGTTTGGGTTTTCTGGTCAGTGTTCCATCCCTGTGTCTTATAAATCTGACCTGTGCCTATTCACATTTTGCTCAAAGAAACTCTAATTTAAACATATTGTTTAATATTAATTTTTCTTTATATAGCTAATGCTAGCATTGGCAGCTAAGGATGGCATGCAGAAGAGGGTGACTCACTCTTCAGTGTGGCTTTCTTGATGATGCTTTATATTATGTTATATTGACATTACTGTCTCAGTGACTTTTGAATATACATCACTAGGTACTCTGAATTTTTCTCAGTCGGAACGGCGTGACTCAAGTATCTCTAAAGCTTAGGAATGAAGAGTAAATGAAGTTAAGCTACAGTCTGTCTTAAATGTTGTTAGGCTTCTATTTCAAATGGCTTTTTTATGGCTTTGACTTTTATTATTCTTTGTTTCTCAAAATTGCATTTCTTCACATATACTTTTCATATAACCTGCTCTCTGCCACAAAGGATGAAAATATATTTGCTAAAAAGAAAATCAGCCAGAATACTAGCAAAACTCTGGGTTTTTTTGCTGAGATTTCACTACGGATGAGAAGATAAGGCTGTATACACGTAAAAGGTTTCCTGTAGAGAAGATAAATGCTTGCACAGAAACACAGCCTGCTTGAGATTTTGCCGTGTAATGCACTCATACATATTTCATCTATATGTACGTTAAATTTTACAAAAGATAGCAAAAACCCCCACAAGTAAGTAGCGATGTGATTGAGCAGCCATTGATGTCTGCAGGAGAACGCTGGTGATGTTCTTCCGTTTGCCTTGGGCTGTTATTACTAACGTACTGCCCTTGGTTCCTGGAAGAAATGTAGAAGCCTCAGTGCACCGCATTTGGAGCAGATAGTCTCACTGCTCTTGTTGCAATGCCATTTTTTTCTCTCATCCTGTGTATTGGGAATCCGTTTTTATTAAATATGGGAACCTGTGAAGGAAGACACTGCTAACCGTTCATCTGTAGGAGCTTGAGAGGAAAGGATATCACAATTCTTTGAAAAAGCAAATGTTATTGTGGCATTGTGATGCCTCTCATTTGATATCCCTGATGAGATAAATGAAATGTTGGAAAATACTTAATGTTAGAAAACATAAAAAAATAATATTTTGAACAACTTCAAACATGTTTCTAAACAAAACCTGCAACTCTTCCCTCAGAATAGTCTACGTAACCTATGGTAGCAAAACTGCAGAAAGTAACTCGTTACAGATGATTGAAATAAAGGTGTTTGAATAATTATTTGTGGATTTTAGGCCTGCCTTGATCCAGTAAAGTATGTATTGATTTCCATTTTGAGATAGCTGAGTGCTTTTTCTGACTTTGAGTAGTATGAAGTTAGGCTGCTGTCGAAAGGCTTTTGGACTGAGGCCTGGAAGACAGGGAACAAATAGCATGCAGCTGGGTAACTACTACTGTTTGGTCTTGCTAATGTACTCTTATGCACTATGTAGTTGGCTTCATGCCTATTCCCCCTATTTTAAAGAGATATAGCATTATGAGCAAATTTTCTGAACGCTGCTAATTGCATCAGTGTGCACAATACCACGTTACTTTGAAACTGGCTTGTTTTAGTAATGCAGAATTATTAGAACAGTTATGCTTTGTGGAAATCTTTCTTGAATCTGTGAAACCAAAAGAAATAACGTAAGATCTAGTATGATTTAAAGATGGGCCTTTTTTTTTCTGTCCCTGTGTTTAGTTATCCTTTCCTGCCATTCCTTGTCAGTGATTGTGCAGTAGTGTTGTAAGTGGAAAAATCAGCTAAGAAAAGTAATTGTCACCAAGCAAAAGCATCTTGTTACATGAAATGCCTACTCAAAATACCCCTTTTAATCTTTGTCTTAATATGCTAATTTTTTGTTACTTTTCTAGCTTAATATGTTGCATGAACTATGCAGACAGAGAAACAGAGTGGACAGCTCATTAGCAAGTCATTTGAGGTATGCAGGAGGACATAGTGGCAAGGATGAGCCCCTCTAACATGCTCAGAAATTCTGGAGGGTGGAGTACTCGAGTGTTATTCACAGCAGAAGCTGATGGACTAGATTGTTTCTGCATCATGCCCTTATTAAGGTCCTAGAAAATGTACTTGAGTGGGGGCCTAAGAGGGTCTTCAGGATTTATTTATGAAGCCTTTTACAGTATAAGTTATTTTTAGCTCATGAAAGAGCAGAGCGCACCATTTCTCTGTTAGTCTTAACTGTTTATATCCGCGTTCTAGAGTAAAATAAAGATTAAACTAATCTTGGAGACCAAGAAAAAATTAGCTGAAGAGTTATGAGGGAGAGTGAACTTTTTGTAGCTTGAATGTATGCTTTTTTCTCCTTGTCCTTTTTCTGAAATGTCAAAAGTTGGCAATGTACGGAATACTCCATTGGATGCCAGTCTGGTTTTGGGCTTCTGTTCATTTTGTTAGGTGGCAGACTGGGTTGTGACCTGGTGATTGCTGTTTTCTGGGAGTGTTAGTAGGCACCGGCCTGCGGAAGTTTACATGAGACCTATTAGAAGAAATGAAGAAAGGACCCGAATCCTGACTGAATTCTCTCAGTGTTGCTGTAAGCTATGTTAAGGCCAACAAAGATGGGAACAGTATGTTGGGTGGGCTGAGACCACACCAGTACTAGATGTCAGCACCCTAAGAAGAATTTGTGAAAAAGTGGTGCTAGGGAGATGCAGGGAAGAAGGATGATTTCTGGACAAGTGCTAAGTACCTGCTCTGAATATAGAGGACATCATGAGAAAAGGCAAAAGAGGAGATTTACGGAGATACTAAGAGAATGGGTTCGGAGGTATTCAGTGAGCAAAAAGCATCAAAGTTAAAAAGCATCTGTTAACTGAGTTTTTTGTTCACATTCAGCATCTCTTACAAACATAGAAAATTTAGTCATTACTAAGAATGGCATCTTGGTTACCTCAGGTGACCAGCTACTAATAATTTAGATTATTGTAAGTGGATAGCATTTGATTGAAAACATTGATTGTAGCCATCTGGATTCTTCTCAGCATCGCTGATCACAGTGAGGTGACTCCAGTAAATGGAAGGGGGTTGTGAGCAGTGGAGAATGTGCTCTTCTACCCATAACAGTGGTCTTGAAGCAGGAAAACTTTTAATGTAAGTGCCCAGTAATTAAACATCTTGTTGGTATGAATTCACTTGCAGTTCCCTGGATATGTTGCATGTCCAGGAGGTGTTCTGCTGAGATTAACAGTTAGTGATATACCCCTGCATGAAGACACCTTTCTTACCAAAATTGTCAAGTAAAGCCTAAAAGTTTGTAATGATCTCCGTGATACACAGTGCTGCAGCTGCAGTACCAGTAAATCCGTGCTGCTGTGCCTCAGCGTGGGCCGCCACGCTGCCTGTGGCTCTTGCCCCTCTCGGCTGTTCTACACAGGGCTTGGTGGTGCGGGCATGGGGGGACCAGCTCAGCTGCCGAGCAGAGAGTGGGTCAGGAGAGCCAGGAAGTTCCCCCAACACCAGTCCATGGCCTTGACACTCTTTAAATACCTTTTGCCCCTCTTGGAAGAATTTAATAATAATGCGGCATTAGTGCTGTGGCAATACTTTTGTTTTTAATTTGGAAAGATCAAGAGGTATTTCTTATCACTCCTGTGACAGAATGCAACACTGATTTGGAACATCAGAGCACTAGAAGTGTAGTATGAGACTATAAACTTACTGAGGTGTTTTCTTAAAGTCCATTATTGTTGCAGCTGAACATGTTGCCTGTCTTCGGTTACAGGAACTTGATGTCTTTATGTTTTTAGCATTTACTTTCATTTGTTTTTTCTTTGGAGAAAGCTGATTCATGCTGCATTTCTGGCCAGATCATCTTTTCGTTAGAGTCTGTTTTCTGTTTGGTTGACAGAACGTAGTCTGAGGGATGATAAAATATGTGGACTACATCCTTTCAGACTGGAAGGTTAAATGTTCAGGAGCTTGGAGTGTTTTTGCAGAGTCTGCTATGTTTGCAGTTGACAGTCTTGAGTTTCCAACAGTTGTTTTTGCAGTGTTCAGTGCATGTGTTGCCAGTAGTGAGAAGCTGGAAATGCAAGCCAGCAACGCGTGGACAACTTGTTACTTAAAACACTTCAGAAGTCTGAACATGAATCAGATCTCTCTGCAGAATGGCTCATTATTTTCTGCAGGTGTAACTGTAAATTACAGGCTTGTGGCCTGTTGTTTTCCCTTTAGGTTTGTCTTGTTCTCGCCTCTGTCTCAACACCTTTTTATCCCTTTCTTAACC